ATCCAAAAACTTGTGTTGTAACAGAACAGACCGTTCTTGGCTCCGTGTCAAACAACACAGTGATAACCATGTAAACAATATATATTATTTTAACCAAAAATTTGATGTAAGTATAAATTGTGATATAATTGGGAGGGGAAGAAGGGCGAGGGGAAAGTGAAAATATACTAAATCATAGTCTAGTCTACCATATAGTGATAGGTTGTCTGAAAATGATGAGTAAAGCATTTTGTAGAAAGAAATTTGTGGGTAAATACTGAAAGAAACCACTAAAATGAGTTGAAAGTGTTTGCCTCCGAGGAGGTTACCTCAGGGATCACGGGACTGCTATTTTTTATTCTAAGTCTTGTAGCACTATCTGATTCTTAAGACTATGTATATGTATAACTTTAATAAAATTGAAAATAATGAAAACATCAGAAATAATCTTACCAAATGAGCATACAAGTCTTCCACTAAGTTCCTCATAAAATCTTATGATAGTAGCTCAGCACAGTGGCTTGAACATCTGTGATCCCAGCTACTTTGGAGGCTGATGCTGGAGGATTGCTTTTGAGCCCAGGAGTTCGAGATTAGCCTAGATGATATAGTGAGAGCCCATCTCAAAAGGAAAGAAAATCTCATGATAGTAATCACAAGCATTTACTGAACATATATAGTATTGCCATATACCATCCCAAGCCCAATACATATATTATCCCACCTTTTTACACTTTTCAGGATCCTTTCTTCCTTTTTAACGGTTAGGGCCCTTTTGGGTTCTTGAGATAACTTGAAAAAAATAGATGGACCTTTTTGGCTCAAAGAATTTTAAATGTTATTTAACATATGGTGTCTACCATGACCTGAGAAATTGGCCATTTCTTGATACAAGCTGGTCATTTCCACAAAAGAAACTTTGACAAAGATTTTATAAACCCAGACATTAACTTCTATGTTTCTAATATCTATAATTGTTTCATTTTACCATCTGGATCAATATACATATTTATAGGGTAATTTTTTTCTCTGAAAAGTCATCAATAAATTGATGATGTATCATAACTTATGAACTTAGAATGAACGAAATATGGATTATTTTTCCATCTTTGTCCAGATGTCTTCCCTCCCGTGCACCATACTGTTAACTCTCACAACAAAATGGTAGCTCTTGTTTTATTCAAGGACCTCATCTCCTTTGATTTGCCTTGACATCGAGTTTTACTTGAAATTTTATTATCAAGAGGGCTTTTTCCTATCAGAGGGATAGGTGAAAAATTATAAGAACATTCATAATTGGTTGAGGCAACAGAAACAAATATATATATATACACACACACATATATATATATATGAAAAAAAGC